AGACTCCATGGTAGTATGTAATTTGGGTTAGAGTACTGTACACATCTTCGTCAAATGGCAACCTTGCTTAGAGCGCCAAAAGGCTAAAAGTTCACAACGTTTTCCACAGTTTCACTCTAATTCTGCAGCATTCACTATGCTAAAAAAATTGTTTAAGGACTTAATGATTTCCTCACTGAGATCCACCACCTGCTGTGTAGAACACAATTTATGGGTAGCTTGGCATCCTTTATCTCCTTCCCACCTCCCATACGGAAATCTAATATATGTACATATGTCCCTATATCCGAGCAGTGTTGTCATATATGTATATTATAATAAGGCAATATATTGTTATCACATATATATACATCCTCAGGATATATGAATATATAAGTTTATACCATGTATGAAATTCCAGTAGAATTATTATAAATACATATATTAGAATTGCAAGGCCATAAATGTGAACAATATATGGTAAATGGACTGCATTTATATAGCGCTTTCACAGACCCAATGGCCACCAAAGCGCTTTACAATTTTTTCTCAGATTCACCCATTCATACACCGACGGCAGTGTCAGCCATACAAGGCACCATCCAGCTCGTCGGGAGCAGCTGGGGTTAGGTGTCTTGCTCATGGACACCTTGACACTTGGTCAGGTGGAACCGGGGATTGAACCACCAACCTTCCGGTTTGTAGACAACCTACATGAACCACTGAGCCACTGCCGCCCCTAAAAATATATATTTATATATGCAAATTTATTCACAGAACATATATGCAAACATTCGGTATGCTTATATATGATTTTTTATAGGTTTATACCATACATCAAATACCCATAGTAAAATTAGTAGGCCTATATGTACATATATTAAAAAATTTTATATGATCAAATTTTATATGGTACTCTATGTTAAGACCATATATGTGAAACAATATAGGTCTCATTTATATATGTAAGTTTATTTAAAGGCACACTGTGGAATTTTTGGCCACTAGGGTGCGCTCGACCTGTAATTTTCACGTCTAGTGCCCCTAGAGGCCACAAGCGCCGCAGCATTGTCGCAAAAGTCAACAAACAGTCAACCTCCCGTGTCTTTATGTGAGTGCAGACGGCATTTGATTTGTATGTTGGAGAAAGTTAATCGATTCACTACTGACCAAAATAATAATATAAATATAAGATTAATAATATAAATCCTATAAAGAAAACAAATTGAATAAAAGTAGCATATGCAGAAAACAATGTCTGATCAGGTAAGTCGCATTGACAAGGGTTGCCCAATCCTGCTCCTGCCGATCGTCTGTCCTGCACAGTTCATCTCCAACCCTAATCAAACACACCTGATGCAAACAATTAACGTCTTCAGGATCTCTTTGCAATGGGTTGGAGATGAAATCGAGTAGTCAGGAAATCGTTTAACAAAACTGATATAACTCACTACATATTTCCGTTATTTGTAGTCTTCAGTTTGTTTTTCCTTTTACACAAATACAAACATATATGAGCTGAAAGGGAAAAAAAACATTTACATTTACATTTGTATACGGCAGTATGTTGTGACTTATATCAGTTTTGTTACACGAATTCGCAGTAAATATTACATTATATATACACTTTTATGCCGATGTTTATTTTAAACTCTCCCTTTTTCTTTTTTTGGTCTCCTCTGACAAAATCTTCGCTTTCTTCGCTTTCTTCCGAGTAGCTGTTGATTCAGCCATGACGACAACATACAGACGCCGGCAATCAAACGCGAGTTGAGCTCTCACGTTAGAATTTGAGGAAGTTGGGGTGGTGGGGGAAGTGACGTATGCCGTAAAGCGGTCGAATTTTGTAGTTCTTTTTGTGCTCGGGTTCCTACCCGAAACCCGAAGTTACATAGTGCTAGTAAAAGCGATACAGACACCTTCAGGCTTCGGCAGACGTGTCATTCAACCTATTGTAAGTCGATGTACCATCTCAATGGGTTTTGGTAATATATTATAAAGGTTGAAAAGTTCCACAGTGTGCCTTTAAGCAACAAATATGCAAACATTCAGTATGCTTATATAGAGATTTTAGATTTTGTTTTTCATTTAGTTTTCAATTGGATCGCATGGGTGATGGCAAAAGCCAAATACTCCAAATGTGTGACCCTAGAATCATCTCCACCTTTTGCCCCTCCAGAGACAGCCCTACCATGATCTTACTAATAGGCCTACTACAGCAGTTAAACTCTGGATTCTGTGCAAGAACTACGGTAAATGTTATTAGGGCAATTACAAGGGATAATTTAACAATAGAGCTTTAAAGCCTAGATCATATGGATTAAGGATGAAGCTTTTTCTCTTCAAATATGTTTTATGACCTTTGTAATAGTTATAATGAATTGTAATTGAAGTAAAATAATTTGGTAACACTTTACTTGAAGGGGTGTGCATAAGACTGACATGACTCCTTCATAATCATGACATGACACATGTCATGAATATGAAGGAGGTTTCATGCATGTTTATGACAACTGTCATTAAGTGTCATTCTCTCAATTATGACATTTTTAATGCAAATATGACATTGTTTGAGATGTCTTTGTTATGACAACTTGACATAAACCAATACATCAAAACCTGTCAGTGTCTTGGTAATGACAACTTGACATAAACCAATACATCATATATTGTCATAAATATGTTATAAACATGATATAGCAGATTAATTATCAAACTTAAGAAACCACTTTTCTTTATGGGTTAACATTACATTAAACTGTCATGTGGTTGGTTTTGACATTGGCTGTCATGAGGCCATTATAACTGTGTCATGAATATTTTTCTTGACCTCAACTACAGTGGTACAAATTTAATTTGTCATTAAAATGTTATAATGGCCTCATTACAGCCAATGTCAAACCCAACCACCTGACAGTTTAATGTAATGTTAACCCGTAAAGCTAAGTGGTTTCTTAAAGGTTCTCTAAGCGATCCTGGGTGACGTCACTTCTTGTTGACGTTCGAACTATTGTCAAACAAAACGGAGGCTAGCTAGACCCTCCCTCCTCCTCATCCGCACACTAACCCCCCAAACCACACCCCCAAACCCTTCTTGTCAGTCATTGGCTGGAACAGTTTGTTATGTTTCGTGGAGCGGGTCGCCGCAGTTTGTTTTTGTTGCTGTTTGTGGAGCCTGGGCTGTCTACAGAGATCGCGTTTCTTTACAGTGTGTTCAGGGGACAGGCAGCCAGCGGGTAGTGAGGAGATGTTTGCTGTATGTGACAAAAAATGTTTTGGCCTAAAAAACGCGTGACATCGCTTAGAATTAGGTGTTAACAAATGTTATTGTTGTTAAAAGGGATAGTTCACCCCAATAAAAGCATTTACTCAGACTATATAATTCCACACCTGTATGACTTTTTGTCTGTGGAAGATCATTTAAGATATGTCTGTTTTTTTTATTTTTCTCCATATAGAAGTCAAGGTTAACCAAAATGGTTTGGTTACCAACATTCTTCAAAATACATTCCTCAAAAAAAGGAATTTCATTATTTGTTTATGTCCTATTTTATTTATTCATTTATTTATTCCATTTATTTATTATTAAACGTCTGTGGCCGCACTTTTGGGCCGCATGCGCTGGATTTGTTGGTTTCGAGTTTCGCTTGGGCAGAACGCTTTGTTTATGTGTGTGTTGTTGTATTTTGTGTAGCATGCAGCTCCTGTTTATCATTGGCTGTGAACTTTTATGTTGTGTTCTGTGTAGCATGCAGATCATGTTCATCATCGGCGCTTTCATGATGTAGCACATGGCACCTGTTTATCATCAACTGGGTGCTTTCATGTGGTGTTGTGGACACTCAGTCAGTGAGAGCTCTTATTGGCTGCGTGTTCATCTGCTGAGCTGTCTATTGTCTTAACCCCGCCATTCTTGTTACCTGATTGTTGGTTCATTTGTCTCACCTGCTCTCCCTCGTTACACCCCTAATTTCCTTCCCTATTTATTCTCCTTGTTTTTTCAGTCCTGTTTTTTGTTGTGCATGTTTTCCCTGTAGGTGTTGCAGTGTACTGTTTTTTTACTGTCATGCTGTGACTTGCTTAGTGGTGGGCAGATCGAGGCTTCGTGGAACACTAAAACAGTTTGAAGCAAATGTGCCGTATTGTGTCGAGGCTTTGAAATAATCTGACACCTCTCTCCACGGTGACCCCTAGTGGTCAGAACAGAGTAAATGCAACAAAAACCCAGGCCAAACATGCATAAAAACACCATTTGCAATTTTATTTTAAGTAAAATCTTTCAAATGCTATTATCTAATCATCTAAATAGCAAGTGTCTATATGTTCTTTTATTAATTGTCAGGGTTTATTTTGTTTGTTTTATGGCTCAGCTAAACAGGCCAATATGTGACTATTAACTACCATTATTCATTTTAATGATACTAATGTCTAATTAAAACATCTACAAATGTACAAAACTGATCAGAGATCAGGTATAACCCACAGACACTTGTTCATAGGTTCTCAGTGACTCCTCATGTTAATGGGTTGACAGAGATCATCGCCCCCAGCGGTGAACCATTGAAATTTCGAAGTGTTTCAAAACAATTATAACGTAATGAGGCCTCGTTTACTGAAATCACTTGACTCTGGCAGGTTGACATATGTATGTATTTATTAATACATATACAGTGTATCAATAATTATTTATGAGACATATATGTCAAAATATGGATTATATAATATATCCCATATAAATATATATATGTTTATGTAAATATATGTAATCGTTCCAATTTCTAGTAGGTTATATATGTTTTTACTTTATATGAGCATATATTACATATATTGATATTTCATATTTGTGCATATATTACATTTCCGTATGGTCTCTCTCTCTCTCTCTCTCTCTCTCTCTCTCTCTCTCTCTCTCTCTCTCATGGCAGCAGTGTGAAGGTGAAATCCGCAAAATAACTTAGAAAACACTTCACATTCATACCAAAATGCAATCTCTAAACTGTATTTCCTATTTGTTTCCTTAGCTGTTTGCCATGTCTTTTGCATGGGCCTACCAAGAAATACCCAAGTACCAGCACCGAGACCCTCTGACCTCTAAGGTGCTGCTTTGTGAGCAGTGTCCACCTGGCATGGCCGTGGGACGCCACTGCAGGATGGAGGAACCCACCATTTGTGTCCCCTGCCCAGAAAAACACTTTGCGGAACAGTGGCATTGGGGAGACAGCTGTCAACATTGTACATCTGTTTGCAAAGAAAGGCAGATTGTACAAAGGGAATGTAACAGCACTCATGACAGGCTCTGTGAGTGTATACCTGGGTATCACCTGGTCGTAGAATTTTGTGTCCATCACACAGCTTGCTTACCTGGCTCTGGAGTCGCTGTACAGGGTACGTACACTCATTCTTTGTCAACAGTGTGCTAGAACAATATTTATGAATTCAAGACCATCGATGTTTGAACCAGTGTGTCTAAACGAGTAATTTAGCAATTTCACAGACTTGCCAGATGTAAGTTATGTATCAAGTTTCAAACATCTCATTCACCAAAATATTATGAAGAAGAAATGCTACACAACTTGCAAGGACTCCAACATTTCTGGCCTCTAGAAAAGCTTATTCAGCAAGGAGCCACTTTTATTTTAAATTAGCCAAGTGTGTCATTGCTTTTAAATGCCATTTTAAATATAATTATTGGGGAGCCTCAGTGGTTTTCAGTAAAACTCCACACTCAGCCAGTCAACTGACGCTGAATTAAACCCATAATGCATCCATATTCTTTATTTTACCATTTTTAATCCAGTATTCAGTATTCTTTGTTTCAAACCGGTTTCAAGGTTAAGAAAGCACATTCATTAGAAAGAAGTATACATTAGCAGTCGGCCAGTACCTCACTTAAGCTTTCTTGGCAGCTGGTGGAACATTTGGCAGCGTGCATGTGCTGTCAGGGTGCTATTTAATCATGCTGTTTGTTGTATCAGTGAGAAATTCACAGTGGCTGAATTCCAGCAGAGTAAGTGGAAGTAATCACTTCCCTGTTAGCAATGGAGAGTGTGAGTGACAGAGGTGTTCATTAAACAGAATAACACTGCTGGTTGTTTTCACATTGGCCACCCCACCCAGACTCCAGACTGAGTCTAATGAGGATGATCTGTTCATTCTCAGAATTTGTGTTCAATACCAGATGTTTTAATTTTGTCATTTATTTTTGTCTCTTTTTAATTAGGTCAAACATTATCCCTCAGTGTTCCGTTGTGAATTACTGAATTCCCAGCCCACATGCATCACTTTCTAAAACCTTAAATTAAAGAATATATTATGAATACTTGGTTTCTGTAACCAGTGAAGATGGCAAGATTTTGGCTCTGATTTATCTCCAAATATGGGTGATTCCATCATTAGCGTTTTTCATGGAAAATAATATAATTAATATTAAGGAAAAAAATTATTTTCCTTAAGCTTATCTCTTAGTTTGTTACAAATGTATATATTCATATATTTTTGTTTTCAATGTCTTTTAAATAAAAAGTATTGAACGAATTTTCTTCTTTTTTTTTTATGAAAAAAATATTAGTTGAGCAGTTCTACATTCACCATAAGATGGTGACAGAGGTCCTTAAACACTTGACTTTTTTTTGGAACATTTGTGATGTCCTCTTCTGGCTTATAGGCTATATGAGTTTTTTTTGATGAGCATACCCTTTACACCAAGTGTTACACTTGAGTACATAAATCAATTTGTGCTATGACAACAATGCAATCCCAAATTATGCAGCTTAATGGAGAGATTCGTTTTATTATTTTTATAACCGATCAAACATATTGGAATTTTTGCCTGGTGGATAAGACAATAAAATTACACACTCAAGACTTATCCAGAAGCCATAATATTATAGAGACTTGGATTGTTTTGACTTAGCCCTGTAAGCAACCTCCCACAACGCCCTAGTAACACCCTAGCAACAACACAAAATGCTAAAAGAAAAAAGAACATAAATGTGATCTTACTCAATAGTTCTGATGTAGATGGATTCTAAATAGAGGCATAATAGATGCCCAAACCGTTTTTTTGCCCCTAGACTACACGTTTTATGTTGAACCTATTAGATTGAGCAATATCACACATTATTGCTACTCTGAAAAAAAGTACAAATTAAAGTACAAATTATTGTACATTTGGCTTATTGTCACGTTTTTAATTTCTAATAAATAGTGTGAAATTAATGTTTTAAAGTTCTATGCACAGTTAAAGAATGAGACCCAAAAGTAAAAATCTAGTTCCTCAAAATTCCTTAGTTCCTTATTCACATAATTAAACTCCACTAATAGTTTCAGGGTGTTTTTTTTTCTTCATCTTAGTCATTTATAGATCTGACTCATTTTTGACCTATACATGTGAGTAGCTGGTTTCTTTTAGTCATGTGTGACGTGAATGACATTTGTCCAAGTGATGAATCCTAAACAATTCTTCATAAAACTCTCACTTCCTATACACCAGAGTACATGGGTGTTTAGCTTGAATAAAATGAGATTCCTTTCTCATCTTTTCACAGTGGGTATATCCATATGATTATACATTCTTAATATAAAGAATGTTGGAGAAAATGTGTGAGTTTTATCATTGAAAAAGCTTTAGTCATGTTTAAAATAGTAACAGTCCCGTATGCCATACTATAATACATATATATAATCACTATAATTACTTTCAATATAATATAATATAATAACAAAGTAGCACAAAATAGAATTTCAACAATGTAGTGGGCAGGATTGTTGATATAGTATGAATAAATATTCAGATGAATGCCATGAATGTGCCTGCTTTGCATAGAAGTAGACCTGGTTTTTGCTATTCAAAGTATTCTGTATTCTAAAATTACATATTGCAATTGTGCATTGAGAGTGTATGTACATGTCCTGCAGGCACACCAGAGAGGAACACAGTGTGTGAGAAGTGTCCCCAGGGTTATTTTTCCAGCACATCTTCATCCACTGAGCCGTGTATGCCCCACAGGGATTGCACTCAACTGGGCCTGAAGACTGTCAGACTTGGCACAACCACCCAGGACACACTGTGTGAATCCGAGAATAAAGAGTTCACCTTTGACTGCTCCCATCAGCACACAGAATGTCACACTGGTAAGTTTCATTAAACAATTCCAGCCCTTGTTTTATCATTGAAAAAGTTGTTTGCTTTGAAGATCTTTTGTGCCAATTTTGGTAAATAATGGACACATTTTTGAAGGAATAGCTGTGCTGATTCCTGGTGCATCCCTTGGAACTGCCCTTGCTGTGCCCAGTGATAGTGTATTGCCATGACCCCCTATGTACTGCTTACTGATTTCCGTTGGACCAGGGGAAGGGGTGTACAATCGTCAGTCCAGGGGGTAGGGGCTGACTGTTATATGAAACTGCGTTGATAGGGTTGCCATAGAAATGCATAATTCCGAGTCTGAGGATGCAAACAGATCCATAGAACGTCACAGGTTCTCATCTCATAATTACGATAATAAGCTCATTGTTTTGGTTCAGGAGAAAGAGTAAAAGGTGGCTGCTGTTTGTTTGCAGTGTTCGGTGACTCTAGCAATGTGTCTACAACTCTGCATAGCCTGATGGAACACGCTGATGACATGTGATGTCTGCGCAAGCAGGGTGTGCGGAGGTATGCAAACTCATAGGTTGTCAGGCAGGTAGGACATCCTATCATAGCATTTCGGACCAAATGCAATGATTGGACAAACATTTTTTGGTCCTAAGACTTCCATAGAAGATATATATATATATATATCTTCTATCTTCTTATATATATACAAACAAATAACACTTTAAATATTGATTGCTATTTGGATGTAAAGAGACTTTCAACCTCTGTAATAAAAATAAAAAACATGAAAATTTTTATGAAAACATTGCCTACCCTAGCTTTAAAAAAACAAAACAGCAAACACAATATAAACAAGCAACATGATTTTTTTTAGAGACTGAACTCTAAATATATAATGAATAACTCGATGTTCAGCTTCAACTATTGAGTCCAGGCTTTTGAAAACATCCGAAACACATGCTTGGAGAAAATATCACTCCTGATGGTAGTCAGAAAGATATGACAAAGGGTGTCAGTTTCTCTAAATCAGGCTTCTTGGTAATGTCACTACATGTGAGAGATTGTCACCATGCTCACATGGTACATCATTCTGATTAGAAGAGACAAAATGCCCACCTCACCAGCTTATTGGTGGAGAGGAGACAGAGTGATGAAGACAATCAGTGTATATGTGGATGTGGTGTTACATGATATTCCCTTAGAAAGAGGCAGAGCTGCTATGTCCATGTATTGTTCCCACAATGCTGAGCAATTTTATCGTTAATGCATCAATCGTTCAACAGAATGGTATGCGTGTGACATTCAATTCGAGGGGGAGGGCAGTTTGGAACAAGTATTATTACTGATGAGATTGTCTTTGGTGTCTATTTTCAGTGTGAATGGATTTATGTAGATGTAAAGGTGAAAATGTTTGCAACTCCGCACAATTGCGAGTGCTTCACGATCTGTTTGACAGAATCGTCTTTCAACATCAGTGAGAGCTCTACTAGCATAAGCAATGATGGACATCTGTGGTTCTGAAAGAGAATTGCACTCAGACCTACAGGGCTGGCATCGACTGTGAGCTCAGTGTCTTTTCTAGAATCAAAGTATGCCATCACTGTGCTGCGATTGCTGCGATATGTATGAGACCCATTTCTTTGAGTTGCTGGAATAGTGCAGTCAGGTTTAGTGTTGTCACGGTTCTGGAATTTCTAAATTCAATGATACCTTGAAAAATACCGATATTCAAAATAATTTTTTGATACCACTGAGAAAACTGTCATATATACTGCCATATTGTCAGGATTCCACCAGATTCACTCACTCCTCCCACTCGTTCACTGTCTCCCGACTTCTAATCATCATCACCTGCACCTCATCAGTTCACCTCCCTTTATATTCGACTCCTCTTCACACACTCATTGTCTGGTCTCGTCTCTACATGACCCACAGACTCTCATGCTACTTACCTGAGCTCCATCCGCCGATCACCATCAAGTTTCACACAGAAGTCCAGTCTTCAGTCTTCAGTCATCAGTCCATTCCCAGAGACTCTCCTTCAGCACCTGTAACAGAGACTGTGTTTATTCCTTCAGCTAAGTTCCATTCTGATTACCATATGTTGCATACTCACCATATCTCCGTCTGGTTCTGCAATCCTGTAAATAAACTCTATTTTACTTACCACCTGTCTGACTCCTGTTCCATCCGTGACAGAAGACCAGACCAACGAAATGCAGAATCCAGCGGAGCCTGTGGAGAATCCACCTCGCAATCCCTTTGCGGAACTAGTTCAGGCTGTTCGCCAGTCCTTACTTCCTTCTCCACCGGCTAATCCACCCACCGTTCCCGAAGATCTCCTTCACTCTGCGCGCCACCATTCACTTCCGCAAACATCCACTGCTTCATCAGCTGCCTCTGCGAGTCCCATGGCCCGACCAGCGACATTCAACGGAGAGGCGGAGGATTGCAGTGGTTTTTTGCTTCAGGTATCACTATATTTTCAAATGCAAGCACATCAATTCTCTAATGATTCAGCCCGAGTGGCGTTTATTATCTCCCTGCTGTCCGCCAGAGCTCTCCAGTGGGCCCAATCTCTCTGGAAATCGGATTCTCCTGCGGTTAAATCCCTTTCAAGCTTCATTCAGCATTTCAAGGAAGTGTTTGGTCAGACAGTTTCTGATCTCACCGTTCACGATCAACTCTACAACTTTTGTCAAGGAAAGTCTTCTGCGAGTACATATGCCCTTCATTTTCGCACGCTGGCGGCTTCTAGCGGCTGGAATGAAACAGCTTTAATGACAGCTTTTCGACATGGTCTCAATCCTAACATCTGTCAGCTGGTGGTTGTATATGAGGATTCCTTGGGAATCGAAAGTCTCATTCAGAAAACTATTCGAGTATCTCAACGCGGTTCAAAATCCACCTTGAACCGCACAACTGTTCATTTGTTAACCTCCCATGTATGTGTCTCAGCACAAGCCCTCCTCGACTGGGCAACTATTGACTGGCAGGGAACTTCATTTCCACTCAACTCCTACAAAAATTGAACGTCCGTAAACGCCGAAGTCACCAAGATCTCAGAGTTCAAACCATCCAGGGTAGACCGCTGGGCCAAGGTCGAATTCGACATCTCACCCCCACACTGACGCTCCGCAAGGGCTGCCTGCACTCGGAGGACATCTTTTTCATGGTGCTGGAGGAGTCCATTGCTGAGCTCATCCTGGGACGCCCTTGGATGGTCCAACACCAACCCACCATCGACTGGAAATCCGGGGAGGTCCTTCGCTGGGGAGAAGACTTCGGTTAAGAAGATCCAGAAAACCCCCTCTTCTTCATCTTCTGTGGGAAGATCCGAGTTTTCCGTTTGCTCCACATCCATTGAGAGTCCGGAAGTCCACCACCAGGTGAGATTCCTGCTGAGTACAGGGCGTTCCAGGACATGTTCAGCAAGCAGTTGGGGACCAAACTACTACCTCACCGGCCATGGCACTGCGCTATCGACCTGCTACCTGGAGCCACTCTGTCTAAAGGCCGCGTTTATCCTCTGTCCATCCCAGAGCAGAAGGCCATGGAGTAGTATGTGGAGGAAGCTCTTCAACAGGAGTTAATTCGACCATCTACGTTCCCTGCCGCTTCCAGCTTCTTTTTTGTGGCTAAGGACGGAGGCTTGAGGACATGCATTGATTATCGTCATCTCAACTCTCAAACTGTGAAGTTTAGTTATCCCCTTCCTCTGGTCCCAGCAGCACTGGAGCAGCTGCGTGGAGCCCGCATCTTTTCTAAGTTCGATCTACGCAGTGCGTACAAATTGATTCGTATTCGACGGGGTGATCAATGGAAGACGGCATTCGTCACGCCCTCAGGCCACTATGAGTATCGAGTCATGCCCTTCGGATTGTCCAACGCTCCAGCAGTCTTCCAGGGTTACATGAATGAGGTCTTCCGGGAATATCTCAACAGATTTGTGGTTGTCTATATCGACGATATTCTCATCTACTCCTCATCTCTCTCCGAGCATAAGCACCACGTCACACTAGTTTTGGAGAAACTGAGAGCTCATAAACTGTACCTGAAACTGGAAAAATGTGAGTTTCACACCACCACTGTGCAATTTCTGGGCTACATCATAGACCAACAGGGAGTCCAGATGGACCAGAGGAAGGTGGAAATTATCCGGAACTGGCCCCAGCCCTCTACTGTAAAGGATCTTCAACGATTCCTCGGGTTCGCCAATTTCTATAGAAGATTCATCAACTACAGTCACATCAGTTCTCCTCTGACCTCATCTCTAAAAGGCCGGCCCAAGTCTCTGTCCTTTCAACAACTAAAAGAAGCCTTCCTGACTGCTCCCATCTTGGTCCATCCTAACCCAGATATACCGTTTGTTGTTGAGGTGGATGCATCCTCAACAGGAGTTGGAGCGGTTCTCTCCCAGCGGCAGGGTGATCCTCCCAAACTCCATCCATGCGCCTTCTACTATAAGAAGCTGTCCCCGGCGGAGCGGAACTATGATATCGGGAATCGGGAGCTGCTCGCCATCAAGCTCGCTTTAGAAGAATGGCTGGAGGGAGCTAATCACCAGTTTGAGGTTATAACCGATCATCACAACCTGGAATACCTCAGAGAAACGAAAAGGCTAAATCTCCGTCAGGTTCGATGGGCTCTCTTCTTTACCCGCTTCGATTTTATCGTGTCATACCGACCTGGTAGCAAGAATTGTAAAGTGGATGCTCTCTCCCGTCTTCATCATTCTTCAACCGAAGATGCTCTACCTGAACCTATTCTCCCTCCAGCCATGATCGTCAGCCCGATCATCTGGGACATCGACGAGCAGATTTCCCAGGAGAACCTTCATCATCCCGCTCCGCCGGGAGGTCCAGAGGGGCGCGTCTTCGTACCTCTCCATCTTCGTGGACTCCGCTCATACCGTTCCGGGCTTTGGACATCCAGGTAGCAAGCGTACCCTCTCACTCCTCAGTAGCCGGTACTGGTGGCCGTCCATCTCACAGGATGTTTCCAGGTACGTCAGGGGATGCTCAGTCTGCGCCATTACCAACACCCCCAGAAGACTCCCGGAGGGTGAGCTTGTGCCACAACGACCGTGGTCCCACATTGTAATTGATTTCATGACAGACCTTCCCAGATCCAGTAACCACACTTGTGTCCTCGTCGTTGTGGATCGCTTTTCGAAGGCTTGCAAGCTGATCCCATTGCCTGGACTTCCAACCGTGTTTGAGGCCGCAGAGGCCCTCTTCAATCATGTCTTTCGAAACTTCAGCATCCCCGAGGACATAGTGTCGGACAGAGGTCCACAGTTCATTTCAAGGGTTTGGCAGGCGTTCTTCAGACTCCTCTGGGTTACTGTCAGCCTATCTTCTGGATACCACCCTCAGACAAATGGCCAGACTGAGCGGAAGATCCAGGAGATCGGACGCTATCTCAGGACCTATTGCCACCAGTACCAGGACAGCTGGAGCCGGTTCCTTCCCTGGGCAGAGTACGCCCAGAATTCCCTTCGGCAGTCCACCACTTGGCTCACCCCCTTTCAGTGTGTCCTAGGGTATCAACCTCCACTCTTCTCTTGGTCAGGTGAGCCCTCAGAGGTTCCAGCTGTCGACTACTGGTTCCATCAGATCGAGAGGGTATGGGACTCGGCTCACGTGCAACTCCAACAGGCAGTGCCACAAGAACCAAGCAGATCGTCGTCGTGCTGAACCTCCTCAGTACCAGCCTGGACAAAAGGTGTGGCTTTCGACCAGGGACATTTGCCTCCGCCTGCCCTGCCGTAAGCTGAGTCCTCGATACATTGGTCCTTTCACTGTGCAGAAGCAGCTGAACGAAGTCACATACAGGCTAAATCTTCCTACAGGATTTCACCATCTTTCCATGTTTCACTGTTGAAGCCCTTCATTGAACCTGTCACTTCTCCTCCCACAGAAACCGTCCCTGGTGACATACCTCCTCCTCCGGTTCCAGTCGAACAAGAACCCATCTATCGCGTCCGCACCATCATGGACTCACGCTGACGAGGTCCTCGTCTGGAATACCTGGTCGACTGGGAGGATTATGGTCCAGAGGAACGGTCGTGGGTTCCTCCAACACATTCTCATCCTTTGGCGTCATATAGGTGACGCCATATGACATTTCGTCAAAATCTTACGCACATGGCATCTTTTAGCGTCAATATAACACGCACTGTTTTGGGTAGGTTTAGGTCTGGGGTAGGGTACGGTTATGACGCCTTGGGATCTGCGTCTCATATTGACGCTAAAGGATGCCATGTGCGTCGGATTTAGACGAGCGTCACCTGTATGACGGCTTGGGTTCTGTGTCTCATATTGACGCTAAAGGATGCCATGTGCGTAAGATTTCGACGAAATGTCACAAGCGTCACATGTATGACGCCTTGGGATGAGAACGGGCTGGTTCCTCGCGATGACATCCTGGATCCAGCTCTCCTCACTCAGTTTCACGCCGACCATCCTGATCGCCCTGCTCCCAGGGGTCGTGGTAGACCTCGTCGCCGTCTTCGTCCCTCTTCTCAGGCGTCAAGAGCCGCCTCGGAGGAGGGGGGTACTGTCAGGATTCCACCAGATTCACTCACTCCTCCCACTCGTTCCCGAGTTCTAATCATCATCACCTGCACCTCATCAGTTCACCTCCCTTTATATTCGACTCCTCTTCACACACTCATTGTCTCATCTCTACATGACCCACAGACTCTCATGCTACTTACCTGCTACTTACCATCTGCTTGCATACTCACCATATCTCCGTCTGGTTCTGCAATCCTGTAAATAAACTCTATTTTACTTACCACCTGTCTGACTCCTGTTCCATCCGTGACACATATAGTTATTTTTATTATTATCATAATTTTTTTATAATTTGGGTAATTTTGTTGCAATAGCTTTCACACAGCACAGGGAGGCTTTTTTGAAACTCTGAACTCAATTTACAAAAAAGACAAGTGAACAGTTGGTAATAAAATAAGAACAAATAAATAAATACAATATAATGAAATGAACTTGGCTTTGTATTTTTCAGGTGGGTCTAATAGTATTACTACAGAAATTAATTAAAGTAATCAAATGTAAAATATAGGGCTGTTTTCGACTAAGGATTTTCATAGTCGAATCTGATTCGTTAGATTTTGCCGTAGTCGACTGATAGTCGAACCTTTTTTTTTTTTTTTTTTTTTTTTAGATAGCAGCTAGACGTTCGGTTGAATAACTGTTCGCCTGTTATAGGACAACTCGCTCTACGTTTATTTAAAATGAACAGCAAGACAACTAGAAGTGAATGTGCTTTCCATTAAATGAATCCTTAACAAAAAAAAAAAAAAACGTTGCAATGAACGTGCTTTGTTTTAAATAAATCACACACAGTAAATAAAACCTTAACAAAAAAACTTTGCAATGAACTTTGCAATTTAGACGCACAAACTGCGAGCCGGTGCGGTGAGACGTAGCCTACATGCTCGGGCAGATTTGGCTTGAAGTCGTTCATCCTCGGACGCGGCGTTGCGCGCGCTGTTACAAAAAAAGCTGTGCACACAGCCAAGCGAAATGGGGTCTTGCCGGTCTTGCGCACCCAACGCGTCATTTTTTGCCGTGCGCACCTTCGCGCTCGTGCGGACGCGTCGAGTATAAACAAGGCTTTACTCCGTGTCAGCGCGCGCTCTGATCGGTAAAGGTGCACAGACCTCTCCCGAATCATCTCCAGCACTCAGCCTTCGACGCACCACTAACTCCGCCTCCGCTTCCCTCGTAAGATGATATTAGTATTTAAACATTCTCTATGATAAAAAATGTGTGTAAAAAATATTTGAATAGCACGGTTTTGCCGGTTATAGAGTTCTAATGACGGTGTTCAACTATAACCGTCGGTCTCTCGGTTATATAATAACCGTCACACCCCTATTGGTTACATAACACTTCCCTACTATTCGACTATGAGGTTCACAGTCGAATCAGACCTCTCCGAATCGAATCGTCGAATCCTCGACTATTAGAAGTCAGCCCTAGTAAAATAACACTGGATAGTCTTCATTGTAAAAATTAAATACAGTTTAATGCTTACAATTAGTTACAAAAGTTATTCAGTCAAGAGCAGTGAGTGATTTTCTTGTTCTTTGATTAACATGATAACAGTATATTAGGCTGCTGTCACTTTAAGAGCTGCACAGATTTTTCATTCTCAATGCTGACAGCAGACCTCATTCCTGTGTTTACCTGAATACTCACCAAGACAGGCATTTTGATAATATGTTGTGTGTATTTGACCGTTTAAGTGCAATAAGCCATGAAAAAGAACTCCAGAGAACAGTTTGCGAGGCAGCTTTATGTGTGCTCCACTTATATAGATCAGTGGTGCACTTTTGGTATGAGAGTAAAACCTGGGGTTTCTAAAGGTGCTCTAAGCGATGTCGGGTGACGTCACTTCTTGTTGAAGTATTGTCAAACAAAACGGAGGCTAGCTAGACCCTCCCTCCACCTCATCCACGCACTAACCCCCCAAATACTTCTTGTCGGTTATTGGCTGTAACAGTTTGTTATGTTTCGTGGTGCGGGTTAGCCCAGTTTGTTTTTTTTGACGTTTGTGGAGCCTGGGGTGTCTGCAGAGGCCGCGTTTTTTTACAGTGTGTTCAGGGGACAGGCAGCTAGCGGATAGTGAGGAGATGTTTGCTGTATGTGAAAAAAAATGTTTGGCCTAAAAAACGCTTGACATCGCTTAGAGCACTTTTAAGGATATTATTCAAAAAAGGATATTAAGTTAAAAGAATGTCCCCCGTGTTTTTCAAGAAAATGCTTGGAGACACATTGAAAAAACAACATTTGCTGTTGTTTCTTTTATCCAGTCTACGCAGTATTTAAATCTTGTAAATAGTTAGTGAATGTCTTTATTTGTAGACCCTTTAAACATAAATGTAAATGTACATACATAATTGCAATCTTTTTTGTTTAGGTAACAAAACAATTATTATTGTAACTTGTAATATTACATTAGAAAATGTTACCTTTTAAATAAGGTATTCCCCTAAAAATTACAGCCATAAGACATGGGTGGAGTACAGTTTAAAGATGTGAATAGTCAAAGCTGCTCTCAACATGTTATTTATTAAAACATTAGAATCTATAGGCTAAAAGAGTACAGAGTAGCTGCAATACTGATATGGTTTGGTATCTGTTTCTATTTTGTTTCTGCAAAACCTTGTAATTTAGTTTGTGCTGTTATCAGGCTTCCATGTCCATAACATTCCCACACCTCTCTTTCATGACCTTCCAGAAATTACTCTATGTGAGGAAGCAATATTTCAGTTCCTTGCATCACCTCCTTTGGCCTCTTTCCCTGTGGAGCGTCTTTCTGAGAGCCTTCCAGGACGCAAAGTGGACTGGAAGAGTGTTGAAAGGCTGAAGAAAAGCTGCAGTCCTCAGCAGCAGGCATTACATCTGCTCCGTCTTTGGAGAGAACAAAATAAGGACCAAGATAAACTCCTCAGCATCATCCAAGGTCAGTTTGTTTTATATAGCAGAGACTTGGAGATTAAAAAAACAGAACTGAATTTAGCAAATATAGAGCCTTTCAATGTTAGACCATAAGTGGTCACCAGCATCGTTAGCATGGATACAAGTGGGAAAGTACAAGCATTAGCAATCCTAAAGGCTATTTTTTTGTCTTATGTTGTGGTAATATGGTTTACAGGTAATCCTAGTTCAAGAGATTTAAGTCATTGACACCCATGAAACTTCAGTCGATAAAAGGTCAAACAATTACTGTAAATGTAAATCTCCTTCAAACTACTAATCAACACTAATCATGTTTTGAGTTCAAATCCTAGCATTGAATATAAAATAGAATGTCTTCCGGAAAGTTTTGGATTCTTAATAAAAAGGAAAAAACACCAGATTTTTACTATCAATATTAGATCTTTGAATCTGTAAATGTTTTGATCTTTCAGCAGTGTAATTACAAAGGGATATTACCCAGTTATTGAGTACAATGAATGAATGAATGATTTCACACTTTTACATATTATGGGAAAACTACAAAAATGTACAAAATGTTTAGGGGAAGGTGGTTAGTTATATTTAGGTTAATACTTTATTTAAAATGTATATTGTCTAATGTAATGTTACAATAATAATTGTTTTGTTACCTAAACAAAAAAGATTCTACATTAAAACATTCAATTTTTGTCTAGATGAAGAGCTTTTATTGCACCTCCAACAATATTTTTTGACACACATTTGCATTTTGAAATTTTTTGAATGGACTTCATGTACAGACGTATGGAAAATAATACATATCCCTAGTTTAATAGAATTATATTTTTTTTAAAGAAAATTTGTAAGAAAGAGAAGTATTATTCAAGTTCAAGAACTTTAACAAAAATGCTTGATAAATTTATAGTACAGTCGTTTGATGTATGTAGATGAGAACTTGATGTTGTTTGTCCAGTTGCAATGCCTTAAGCTTTGTTGAAATGAATATCACATAATTTTTCTAATGCAAGGTGAACAATTTGTTTCAAGTTTTGTACTTCATCTACCAGCATTATATCAGTTACATACCTCTCTGATGTATTTTTTGAACTTCATTGCAAGGTACTTTAGGTTCATAGTACTAACATAATCCACCCATTTTCTTCTAGATGTAAACCACTGTGAGAGGAAGGTATCTCGCTGTGCCAGTGTAAAAAACCTCACTCTGGAAGACCTGTTGCTCTTGATGGACAGTTTACCTGGTGAGAAAGTGAGCGACAAGGATGTACGGGCTCTGGTTCACTCCTGTCCCTCACAACGTTACATTATACAGCTCCTCCACTTGTGGAAGATTCAGAATGGAGGTCAGGACCTGGCCAAGGCTTTATCTCACAGTCTTCGCAAACTACGTTCGAAAGGCGCCCGCCGTCCCCTTCTAAAAATTCTAAAGAGGATCAGTCGGATTATTAGCGTGTCATCCATACACCGTATGTATGAGAAGATGATTATCAACATGATCCAGGACAACACATGTTTCAAAACTAAACTGTACAATGACTAATTATACTGTATCGAAGGACAATACAAATAGAGTTATTTAAATGAAAAGAAATTGTACATAAATTTGGACAGGTGTGGGCTAAAAGGGGACAGAGTTGGGTTACTGATATGTTGTTAAGATGCTTTTTTTTTTCTTGTGGCCTGTTATTATTTTTTTATATTGGACTGAAACTTTGAGTTTTATTGCAAAATTGAAATATAAGCCAAGTGCTGGAGGAAAATCACCAAGGTTATTGCTTGACCTGCTAGGTCTCTGAAACGGAATGCTTTATTAAAGTTGTAAATAATGGAAATTGGTTATGAATGTATAATACAATAGAGAGCAGTTAAAAAAACATATTTATCAATGTCAGAAAACTGGACTCTAAAAATTATATACATAATTTGTTTGTAATTTATGGATAAGTGTGACTGTTTTGATATTGATGTTTACTACCACATATTCTCATAATCACAGTGATCTGATAAAAAAAAAAAAGCTTTTAGGCTCCTAAATATTATATAAATATGGCCACCTTAACCTTGTCTTTACTGATTGTGATGTATCTTTACATGATCTACTGTACATGTAAAGATAATAAGGGTAGATTTAATTTAGAACAATAGGAAATTAGCCTATTATTTATTTACCTTTAAAAATCTGTTTTTTTAATTATCAGATTTTTTTTTTGTTCTAATAAGATAAGTCAGCTCACACTAAAATTGTTAAATATGTTTTTCAGTCTAAAATGGCCCCAATTGTAATACAAGGGTTAACAGAAGTATCAGGTCTGCCAGGATGTTATAAAACACTTCTATTTACTGAGTCAACCCGATCTCATGGCAATTTCATACGTATTTTACGAGGTGGCTTATTCGTACGAATTCATACGACCTCATCCGTACAAATTCGTACGAATATTTGCTAAATCGTACATATTTTACGAGTTGCCCAATTCGTATGACCTACCCCTGACCCGCCCCTAAACCTATCCTTCATTTGGGCTTTAGACAAATCGTATGAATTCGTACGAGTGAGGTTGAAAGAATTCGTACGAATTAGCCACCTCGTAAAATACGTATGAAATTGCCATGAGATCCCACCTCAAGTGGGGCCAGATTGTCAGAGGCCTTGTGGATGCTGAAGACCCTTAGCCCACAGAGGGACCACTAGGGCCTAAGTCCCCTAATTACTATTTAGTCTATCTATTGTTAGCCTACTGAAACTTGTAAATGGTCTGGCATTTAATGTATTATAAGACTTTATCACTTGGGGACGTGGGGGTCTCGAGAGACAAGTGACCAGGGACCTTGCAAGACCATGTCCTGACACTGAAAACTTGTAATCATGACAAGCTTGTAAACTCTTTAATACTATTTGTGCTGAATCCAGTAGTCAAGGAAGCTATTAATGTAATCTTAATTGTAATTTAAGCTCTCCAACACCCTAGGATGTACTGTTTGATGGCCATTTCTCACTAGAACATGATAATACATAACATACCTTTTTTACTATCAGTGTAAATTTGCTTATTGTTTTTTCTATTAAATTAATTTTTTGTATTAATCACTCTTTGTATTGTATGTTGTTTGACTAAGTATTCACTCACGTTGCTTCTGCTCATATGGTATTCATTGAAAATATGCAGATATCATACAGAACAATATCTAAATATGGTAGGAAGAAGTTAGAGTGACCACTGGAACAAGGGGAATCCAACAGACATCTCTGTATAAACACCATTAGTGGAGGACATGACTGAGAATTATATGACATACATGAGAGAAAGAGCATGACATACAGTATAAAATTGGTCGTTTTGTTTTACAGGTCTTACTTTCCAAAACAAAGATAGGAGGTACATTGTTGGGGAGAATTCAGAAGTTCTCCTTTTAGATGACTGATGAGTTATGGATTAAACATTTTCACGTCTGATATTTACAATGGTCTCAACATAGCAATTATTTCCCATGAAAATACCAAAAAGTTTGAACATCTCTCTCCTCTTAGATCGTGCCTCCTGCCTTTGAATCCTATAAAGTTTGTCAAGTTGTATTTAACGTACCACTGATTTAAATTATGTGCTTGTGAAAATTTGGTAACATCACTTCTGTTCTGAATACCGTAATTATTCTTATATTTCACATTCACATATTCACATTTTGACGCTTTTATCCAAAGCGACTTACAATTGCTATATATGTCAGAGGTCGCACGCCTCTGGAGCAACTAGGGGTTAAGTGTCTTGCTCAGGGACACATTGGTGTCTCACAGTGGATTCGAACCCAGGTCTCTCACACCAAAGGCATGTGTCTTATCCACTGTGCCCACCCACCATTTCCTTTTCAGTTTGTCATTCCTCCCTTTTCCTCAAATACCAATTACATAACAGACTTCTTCCTAATGCACCAATGGACTGATTCCAACTTTAGATGGAAGTATGATACTGAAAATTATGGTAGTGTGTAATTGCATGATAGCTTTTTGAACCTATTTTCAATAGCAGACCTATCAGGTATGTGTCACTGCATGGTTGCAGCAGGGTAGAATAAAACAAAGGATTTAATCGCAGCAGTTCATTTATTTTCCAAAACTCTAAACCATAACAAACTTAGAATAAACACAACCAACATCATGATGAGAATGGACAATGAACTAACCAAAACACAGGGCTTAAATACACAAAGAAACTACAGGGTTCTCACTCTTTTTCAGCAATCATTTTCCAGGACATACAGCGGGAATAAAAGACAAGGATTACGCCCTAAAGTAATATATTGCTCTCTAAGTCTTTAAAAGGCATACAGTTTACTGCCATGACTTAACTATAAAATCAGTTTTTAATATGAACTCTTAATCAATCATACATTATGACTATGGAAGCTGGTTTATGCCACAGAATAAAAAATAAAAAAGGTAATTGCGACTTATTATTTCGCTATTCTGACTTTTTTTCTTACAATTGTGAGTTTACATAATTGTGATACAGATACTGTATGGGGCCCAATTTTAACGATCTGAGTGCATGGTATAAAGCTCACGGCGCAAGTGCACTTAGGGTGTCTGAATCCACTCTTGCTAATTTAATGAAGGGAAAAATGGTTGACGCTCCCGGCGCATTGTCTAATAGGGTCGTCCCTTCTCTTAATTATTAGTGGGTGTGTTTTGGGCGTAACTTCAGAGTCTCATCTCCCATTCCCTTTAAAAGCCAGTTGCGCTCGTGACATGGTGGATTTGCTATTTACATGACGGAATTTGCTAGCAGAAAGACTGAACGCTTCTCCAGAGAGGAATCCTTTTATTTTTAATATTTAAAAATGTTTGTGTGCTGCTGCCCTGTGTGTGATATAAGCACAGAGTGTGCGCGTTGTGGACCCGCCTATAGGCGCACATTACTAACATTATAAATAATAAATGTTAAAATGCCCCTTAAATAATAAAAAAAAATACTGTGCCATTGTAACAATGAGGCAAGGGCGAAGCGGAGAGAAAATCCACATGCAAGCACTACTTTAATAAAACAAACAGGTAGGGATGGCTGACGCGAAACAGACGTTCCGAAGCTTTGCGAGATCCCGAAGCGCAGATGATTCGAAACACTGATCCGAAGCGTGATTCAAAACACCCACATCACGTGACTACGGCTAAATGAAGCTTCTGAGTGTTTCAACAATAGACAGTATAAGAAGTGGACAGAGCCATCTCATTGGAACTCAGTTGAGACAGTTGAAGCCCATTTTTAGCGATTTTTGAGCACTTCCGTTCCTGACGCGCAGACTCAAACCGACTCAAACTAAGCTTGATGACGTGAGCAACCTGTCTGACAGACGTTAATCTTCTAGTAGCTGTGCGTGAAAATTGCCAACGTTAATCTTGCAGAGACGGGGAACTTGAGCAAAGAGTTCTTTGGCGTGAGTGAGCAGGAGTAAGTATTCCGTTGCTTTTATGGACTCATTATCTATGGGCTTTTCCCTTGACGGGACGTCCCCCCGATTGCCTGCGAGCTTCTCCTCCTGTCTGTACGGTAATTTCTGTACAGCGCGACAGAGAGTCGAGTGGTTATGACGCAATCGTTAGCCTATTTTTACAAAATCTGTTTCTACGGGGCCATAATGTAACATAGAAGGTAATGGAGCCCTTTATACATTGTCGTGTTTCTTTAGAAATAAATAATGGACAAATGGAGTCTTTAAACGCCTCAGATGTAAAGTTATTCGCTGTCAAAGTGACGCCAAAATGAATGGGAGTCAATGGAAATGCTAAGGCAAGTGAAGTTCTGCTACAACATGGCGGCACCCGGCCGGCTTCAACTTCCGGTCGATGGATTACCCCCTTGGTTTCAACAGGTGGCATGGTCCGCCGAGTCAGGGTTTGATTGATAGGTCGGTCGGGAACAGATCACACAATCACACATTATAAAAGTGAAGTCAACGTATTTTCACATCGTGGGTTTTTGTGAGCGGAATTTGGTTTTGAGATAGCAGATTTTTGGTGATATAGTGACATTTATAGTGCGATTTGTTTAGTTATATTTAGGCTTCCATTTAAATGTAGGCTACACATTGACTGAGAGACAGATAGAGTATAGTGACACATTAATAGATGCATAGATAGAAATATATATAGACAGATAGATTAATAGATAGATACATAGATTAATAGATAGATAGATAGATAGATAGATAGATAGATAGATAGATAGATAGATAGATAGATAGATAGATAGATAGATAGATAGATAGATAGATAGATAGATAGATAGATAGATAGATAGATAGATAGATAGATAGATAAAAATGGAGGCTCCACAGAAGAGATGCCATACATATGTGGTGTGGGAGCATTTCCATTTAGAAACCCCAAATAAAGTGAGATGTGTGTATTGTGATGGGCAGCTAGCCTACTGCAACAATACATCATCCATGATGCGCTATTTGAGAAGCACTCATCCTGCCATTCTGCAGGGTGCAGAGGATCCCCCCTAGGCCTGCTACTGACACTGCTGGGCCATCTAAGCAATGTATGCATTGTTTGAAATATAGGCTAATTATAATTGAAATATAATAACAAACTGTTGGGACACGGTGAATGTGATTTCACCAAGTACCACATGTTCCTGGATCAACATCTTTGTTGATCCTGGGTCAACTTTCCAATCAACCAATCAGATTTGAGGGACAAGTTTACAGTTTATGTCAAGTTTAGGCTTAGTGAAGTACTTCAACATCAGTGTTATTAACCTTTCATTACCCTCTGATTTTAGGGAAAAGTTATGGGTAGGGTTAGGTTTAGGGGTAGGGATTGGGTAAGGACTACATTTTGGGACAGGAATGTTGATCCAGG